CCTCTACGGATACATCTTCTTTGGTAAAAAAAATTGTGTAGAAAAAAATTTTGTCGCAAGTGACCTCGGTAGCTCATGGGATTGAAAATGAAAAGCAAGCCATACAACAAATTCAGCAAGAAAACCAAATAACCAAATATAAGCATGTGGACTACTTATTGATAAGCAATACCCATTTATTGGAGCTACACCTGATGGCTTGATTGGGAATGATATGTTGGTTGAAGTGAAATGCTCATTAGTTGCTGCCAAAGAAGGATTGCAGCAAGCCCTAGAAAATAATAAAATTCAGCTGATCAGCTACAAAAAAAAACGATAACTGGTTTCATCAAATTCAAGGTCAGTTACATCTCACAGGCCGTTAAAAATGTATTTTTGGTTTGTGGGTATCATAAAATGAACCAGTGTTTATACAATATATTGAAAAAGACGACGAATTCTGAAAAGAAAAAAATGGAACCAAGGTTGGTTCAATTTTATTATATATAAATATAATATTATACAGTACACTAATTTTTGAAATTATCTTTGAAATAGAAAGCTAAATATTAATTATTATATATATGAAATTGATAGAACCAATTTAATTATGTTGGTAAATAAGGTCTCTTCAGACAGCACTGTAACGAAACGCATCATTGTAAGCTAACTATGCCTGTGCGAATAGGAAAACCCGTTTGCCTATTGCGCTTTGATATAAAACCTAAGAAAGTTTAGAATAAAACCTCCGCCTCAATCATCATCTTTTATTAAAGTTATGTGAATTATTCAACTTATGTTGTGTGTATTATTATTTAAAGCCTGTATTATGGTACCCAATCTGCTGATAGACTCATGAAGTAAGAGAAATTTGTAGAATAAGGTATTAAAAAAAAACATCTATTGTTCATGAGATTTTGAGTAAACAAATTATATATGTATGTAGGAAGTAATGACCTAATATCCTAAAATTTATAACTAATAAACCTTAGTTCGCCTGTTTAAACGGTCATTTAATTCCAATATTTTTTAATTTCGTGTATATTTTAGTAGAAAGCTAACACACAGGTGAATAACAAAAGTTTAAAAGTGCAAAAGCCAATTAGAATTATATACCTCAAACATGATATTCTTTTCTAACTACTGCATTACGAGTACGCTACACTGTGGCACAATATCTGGAAGTAACTTTGAGTGGCGCGCAGCTTTTTGACACGCTGCGTCTTTGCGTACGATTCGTTAGCGGAGGGTTGAGGTAATGTTTGCACACCTACACACCGCGCTGCAAGAGCGCCTTAAAGGTGTGCGTTACCCCAGCAAAATAATGTCGAAAATGGTCATTTAAACTTTATAGATAATTACTTGCTCCCCTTCTGTAATTGTTAGGCACATTTTTAAATTTGTTTCACTTAAACTTTTTTAGTTATTTCAAAAAAACATTTCCTGCTGGGGTAACGTTTGAAACGTTACCGCAGCCAGACATTTTCTTTTTTAATTGTAATATTGAAATAAATTTTAGCTAAATAATTAGTTATCTGGACTAGGTAAATGTTACAACTTATTTGGTATTTGTATTTTCTTCGGCTGCGAAGTTATTCGAAATCCTGCTGGAGTAACGTTTGTGGGTTTGCTGGATCTCTGAAACGGGTAAGCGGATTGTGACCATCTTTTGTACATAACTTCTTAAGGATTAGTTTTAATTTGTTCGACAATAAAATAACAAAAATTATGGACAGTTTAAAAATTATTTAGGTAAGTATGAAAACACTTCAATACGTCCTAACACTTTAAATAAGACCTCTAAAGACTTACTTGAAACGTTATTCTATTGCTTGTAACTACCTTCAAATGTATACGAATTTTCGTAAGAATACTGTAAGTGACTAAAAAGTTATGATGAAATGTAGCTCTCCACCTTCACGATCACAATGTGTGCGGCCTTTTTTGGCCACCTATAAACCTGTGTGTGGATATATAAACTTAATGTTATGCCAATAATTAGTTGTTTAGTTCAGTTGTCTACCTGTAAAATTTCAGCGTAGTACATATAATAATTTACGAGATAATTAAATAAAAGTCATTAGAAGGTGCAAGACCGTGGTAACCCGACCATGTTTAGGTGGTTACAAAAGAGCTTAAAGGTGTGCGTTACCCCAGCAAAATAATGTCGAAAATGGTCATTTAAACTTTATAGATAATTAGTTGCTCCCCTTCTGTAATTGTTAGGCACATTTTTAAATTTGTTTCACTTAAACTTTTTTAGTTATTTCAAAAAAACATTTCCTGCTGGGGTAACGTTTGAAACGTTACCGCAGCCAGACATTTTCTTTTTTAATTGTAATATTGAAATAAATTTTAGCTAAATAATTAGTTATCTGGACTAGGTAAATGTAACAACTTATTTGGTATTTGTATTTTCGTCGGCTGCGAAGTTATTCGAAATCCTGCTGGAGTAACGTTTGTGGGTTTGCTGGATCTCTGAAACGGGTAAGCGGATTGTGACCATCTTTTGTACATAACTTCTTAAGGATTAGTTTTAATTTGTTCGACAATAAAATAACAAAAATTATGGACAGTTTAAAAATTATTTAGGTAAGTATGAAAACACTTCAATACGTCCTAACACTTTAAATAAGACCTCTAAAGACTTACTTGAAACGTTATTCTATTGCTTTTTTGTAACCACCTAAACATGGTCGGGTTACCACGGTCTTGCACCTTCTAATGACTTTTATTTAATTATCTCGTAAATTATTATATGTACTACGCTGAAATTTTACAGGTAGACAACTGAACTAAACAACTAATTATTGGCATAACATTAAGTTTATATATCCACACACAGGTTTATAGGTGGCCAAAAAAGGCCGCACACATTGTGATCGTGAAGGTGGAGAGCTACATTTCATCATAACTTTTTAGTCACTTACAGTATTCTTACGAAAATTCGTATACATTTGAAGGTAGTTACAAGCAATAGAATAACGTTTGAAGTAAGTCTTTAGAGGTCTTATTTAAAGTGTTAGGACGTATTGAAGTGTTTTCATATTTACCTAAATAATTTTTAAACGGTCCATTATTTTTGTTATTTTATTGTCGAACAAATTAAAACTAATCCTTAAGAAGTTATGTACAAAAGATGGTTACAATCCGCTTACCCGTTTCAGAGATCCAGCAAACCCACAAACGTTACTCCAGCAGGATTTCGAATAACTTCGCAGCCGAAGAAAATACAAATACCAAATAAGTTGTAACATTTACCTAGTCCAGATAACTAATTATCTAGCTAAAATTTATTTCAATATTATAATTAAAAAAGAAAATGTCTGGCTGCGGTAACGTTTCAAACGTTACCCCAGCAGGAAATGTTTTTTTGAAATAACTAAAAAAGTTTAAGAGAAACAAATTTAAAAATGTGCCTAACAATTACAGAAGGGGTGCAACTAATTATCTATAACGTTTAAATGACCATTTTCGACATTATTTTGCTGGGGTAACGCACACTATACTTCCTGTAATCTGGCTAAGAAAAATATGGCTGCCGAGAGCTATCACTGTAAAAAATAAGATAAAACCTAACTTAGGTACAATAAAACAACAGAAATTAAAATACATATATTGTTTAATATAAAAGACCTAAAATCCACTGCATAAGAACATATTCAAGATTTTGTTTGTGACTGTTTTGCATTTCTTGGCAGATGATACTACTCTGTTATGCTTTTCCGCTCAGGTGTTAAGCATATCTTTTTATGTGTTAATATTTTTACCATATTTTGAAGATCAGATTTAAGACGGAAATTTTCGCTATTTAGATTTTCTATTTCTAAGTGAGCGCTTTGTAACTGCATTGTGAGTGTTATAACTTGTTCACTTAATTTAGTTAACACCATATCGCTATTGTCATGTAGTAGCCTACGAGTACATGACAATAGCGATATGGTATACTCAATATAGTTGATTCAAATATTGTTTTTTCATTATTAAGGTTTTTTTTTAATTTCTCTGGTCCTCTAGTGAGCTCGTTCTGCATTCGAAGTGTAATATTAGTATAATAATCTGAATCTATTTGTTTAGCAATAGCAGCGCCCTCTGTTGATAATCCGCTCATATCTACTTGCACCTTACCTTAGGCGCGAAATACACAAACGGCGAGGAGTTCGGCGCGGCGCAGACACGACGCCGCTTCAAAACGTTTGCATACAAAATGTATTAAGGAGACGTATTGTGAATTACACTCAAGCGGCGCGACACAGCAGTCACAACTGAAGCGTCACGCAAGGAGCACGTCGCTTGCTATATGGGACGACAATTATTTATCAGCAACAAAAATGCGTGATGATATAAAATGAGTCGATACACTTCAAATGCGCTTAAGTCACAGCTAGTGAACTTTTGAGAAAACGGTGTTGCTGCTGTCTGAGTTATCTTGTGATTTAAAGTAGAATGCAATACTGCCAAAACGTTCGAAATAATATCCATGGGCAACACTATGAAAAGCAAAGATAAACCACCATCAGGTTTTTAAATAAACCGGTTTTTATTTTGGACATAAGCATCTTTGATAGTTACAATATGCATTTAAGCTCATTTGCAAGGAACTGACACTGGACTTAAGCGACTATGAAAAACCACAATGTGACTTGGGCTTTTTTGATGTAACTAACTAATAAAGGGACGTACTTGGGTGAGTAGATTCTAGGGATGAAAAACACATATAGATCAAAACAAAATTTATTTATGCATATCTTAAAAACTGCTAAAACATTATTTGCCAAACAGGTTTGTGAAATAAAACAAAATTATTTCCTCAATAAAATGTTACTTTTACATAGGAAAGATAGATGTTATGAAGTGATTTTCCTAGATACCATGACCCTTTTAATACATAGAATCATTTTTTTTAATAGAAAACCTAATCAACTCAGGGCAGTCAATGCAAAAAAAAATGTAGGTAAGTAGTACCTACATACTCGTAATTAACCCATAAAAATAAGCACGAGGTGGTAATCGTCCTTCCATTACACAAAATCCAAGATTTCATCTGGTAGGTATTCAGCATCATCATTTACTGCATTATCATCGTCTTGTTGTGGCAAGTTTTCATTTTGAGTCAATACATTTTTGTAATACTCTAAGTCAGGTAACTCTCTCCAGGCATCACCAAAATGCTTTTCAAGAAGTTTTTTAACGTCAGTTAATTTTTCACTTTTAACATTAAAAGATGCTTCTATTCTATCCGGTTGAATTCTAGATATAGCTTTGCCACGTTTCGTTATAGTCTGGGGATTGCAAATATCATTTCTATATGAAATTTCGCCTCGAACCATGATTTTCTTGCGTTCTGTCCTTTCTATAATAATCCGCTTCGTTTTACTTATCTGGAAATGCAATGTTTGAGTGCTTTTTAGCACATCTCTGCACACACTCTTCCAATCGAAAATAGGTACCTCAGTTACTAAACGTCGAATGGTAGCATTTGACGCCATGATATCAATATATGTTTGAGGATTGCATATGGTTTCTAGACGTCTTATATTTTTTTCGGTGATAGCAAATACCCGATCTGGTGGAATAAAGCTATGCCCAGTGACAGGAAAAACAAACTCCACTTGTTCTATGCTAGATTGTGTACCATACAACCATTTAGCAACAATCCCAAGAAGTATGGAATTTTTGTTTTGGCCGCCGCAACCGTCAGCCACAAGCCTTAGCCGCTTTTTGCCATCAAGATTTAAATGATTCAGGCAATGGTATAAACATGATGAAATTTCATTAGCGCCTTTGGATGCCATGTCTTCTGTACACACATAAGCATAAACATTGTTTTTGGCGAGGTTAGCGTGAGAGTTTCCCTCAACAATCGTGAAGTTATAAATATATAACTGCCGAGAGTAATAAGCTGATTGGTCAGCTACTTTTGGCAAAGGTAAATTGTTCTGACAATCAAAAGACAAAATAAGGATTTCCGCATTATTTTCCTTCAATTTCTCGAAAAAGCATTTCGTTCTCATTTTGTGTATCCGAAACAGCGTACGAAATTTTTGTTTTTCAGTTTCACTTTGCTGTATTTTTAGCTTTTCTAACAGCTGCAGGCAGTCCGAACACACGTCTTGGCGTGGAGAACCGAACCCAATATTGAAGGAGGTATTAAATACCTTTCTGAAAAAACTTTTAGTCACCGAGTATCCCGGCATCGACTGGTCCTCATACATTTTATATAATTTAGAGATGTTTAGGCTTGGATCCAAATATATTCTCCTTTTTATTTTGCCTCTGCAATAATGGCTCTCTAACGGCTGAATTTTCATCACAAATTTCTGTACAGCTTCTCTCTTCGAACGGAAATCGAAGTATTTTCGGTCTCCACCACGTTTTTCTGATGGGGTTTCTCCTGTGGCTGCGTATCGATTAGAAACCCCTTTTATACGGCCCTGTTTGATTTTTAATATGCCACAAAATGCAGGCAGACAGACAGGAACTTTTTCTTTACTTTTGTGCTTACTAACAAAATACTGCTTTGTAAAAGTGCGTCCATTTCGAGAATTTGTTCTTGCGCGTTTCCTTTTAACAGGGTTCAAAACTAAATGTTGCAAAATATAATTATCTTGACTAATTTTGTTAGGATGAGTGTAAAACCTTTTATGAAAGTAAAAAATGTCGTTTGAAGTTAACGTTTCACATTTGTATACAGCCTTTTTGTTGTGTTGACACTTCGGTTTTTCTGGCAAGGTTTTTGCAGAGTACCTGAAATTAGCAATTAAAAACTAATTTCAGATATTATATTATCAATATAAAACGCACGACCACCTAGGGAAAACGTAAGTGGTGGGTATATAGGATAGACAACGTCTCTGTAACTTAATGACACTATATTATATAAATTAAATAAATTATTGGTTAAAATATGTAGGTGATATACCTATATATTTTAACTAATAATTTAATTTATTGGTTTGGTACTTTGGCAGACGAAAAACATGAAATTGTGTGGAAGTTACGAAATATTGACGCTAATTACCATAAAACCTTAACTAAAAATACCCTGCTTAAAAATAGTAAGTTAAGTAACTTCCTAATTAGTATTTCTATCTAGAATAGAATAATAGTAATTATACTTTCCATCTTATAAACATACATCAGTGAACACGGGGTTGGTGATATCTGTTTTCTAACGTCCAGTTCGGTCCTGTATTTGAATGGTATGAATCACCACGTTATCATGACACACCTCAAACAAAGTGAAATTAGAACAATAAACTTACAAATCCTTCTGTTTTTTCTTCTGGTTTTCGTTGCGCCTCAACTGTGGCTTCTTTTTAGCTACTTCCGGTTTCACAACACTTATTTTTGTTTCCATAATTTAATAAAAATGCAAGCATCCGTTACGAACTCCACCAGCTTTTGAAAACAATGGCGGCCATGACACTGCGTAGGGCTGTCTGTCATTGGTCGAATCCAATGAGGAAGTAAATATATATGGAGTGGCCCTATTCTACTATACTAACAATACATTATACAAATATGTATAAGATCGACACATATACACAAAAAAGCATTACATCTCCTTTTTACTTATGTAAACCTTAGTGAGAAAAGAGAGATAAACATAGTTAAGTGAGTACTAATATTGGCAGCACTTTCGAGTGACGTCATGAACTTGTCAATTCGTGACCGCCGTCGCCATTTTAGGTACCAAGTTTTGAGACATATCTGCTGTCAAACGGTTGTTGTTGTTTTGTTTTCATCCATATTACGGCTGTAAACTGGTTATTATTGTATCCAAGGCTTTGCCCTAGACGGGATAATCATGCCCTCGTGCTCTATTAAAGAGTGTGGTGCAAGAAAAAACAATAATCATCCTACATTGACTCTTCACAGGTAAGTCATATATTTTCATTGATATTGTTCAATATTTTAGGATTTTGTTTAATGTATTGTATTAAAGATGATCTTTTTAAAATTACTGAACACGTTTGTTAGTTTTTCGAGATTTCCAATGGTGTTATTTGCTTTGTTTGACTTTGATTTGTTTACATACGATTAGGGGTAGTGATGATCGAGTCAAGCATCGATACTTTCATTTTTACACGGATTTTTTTATTTAAAATGGTGTTTACCTCATCAGATTTCCTGTAAATGAAATTTTGAAAAGAAAATGGATCAATATCATTGGTTTGGAAAACATAAACCCTCGACATAAAATGTGGTATGTCTGCTCGATGCACTTCCACGAAACATTACACCTTCAACAGAACTCTCGGCGTGACGAGGTTACGTGACTGTGCAGTGCCCTTATCTTCGCTACAGGTTGGTATGGTATTTTATTTTAAATATAAAAGTGATGTGATAAGCTCATCAGAATGTAGATAATAGGATTTACATCAAATACTAGTCATTCCCCACAGTTACACCTACGTTTATGGTAAGTGCTCCTCTCCTGAGTAGTAGTGAGTATGATGTTACATAGTCTATAATATACCTCATTGAATACTTTATCCAATACAATAAATTATTCAAATCTGACTGATACTTCCAGAGATTAGCGCATTTAAACAAAGAAACAATTAAACAACACTTGTACTATGGGTACTAGACAACTGATATAAATACAAACATGTTGTACATAGAAACACCCAGACCAAATCAAGCATTAAATGTTCATGCACACAAATGTTTGACTAGAGTGGGAATCAAACCTTCGACCTTTAGAATAGCAGTCCGTTACACAAACCACTATGTCAATGATGATTAATAATAATTTTATTACTTTCAGGCCAGCCAAATCCTTCCAAAAACCATGCTTGACTCACAACCTACTTCAAGTGCAATGGTAACTATACATCACATAGCCTACTTTTATAAAAAATGGTCATGAATTTAAATAGTAATTCATTGTAATACATATTGTAATGACCGATTCAGAATAATCTATGCCACTACCCCATTCCGCCCTGAAGGTGTTATAAGAGGCACCTAAATAAGTACCTAAGGTAGATAGAAAAAAACCTATACCTTCAGATACCTTCAAACGGAGCCATCCTATAAATATGAGTGGGTCCTATATTTAATTATGTGCACAAACAAGTTCAATTCTTTCTTTTAAGTCTTGGGTTTACATTTATTAATCAGTATCCTGTGACGAGATTGTGATTTATTAATCAAAATAAATAAAAACTTGTGAATTATAAGATATTAGCTATTGTCTATTGATAATATCGGTCATCGCGGTAAAAAGTTTTCCTCAAGAATCAAAGTATCTTCATACCAAATTTGATTGAAATCTTTCCTACTTTCTGACCCTTTATCCCCATTGTTATATATGTTACGAATTTTCAGGTTCAACAAGAAAGTTCAACAAGTTCACAAAAAGAAAAAATAAAGATTCTCACAGAAAAGTGTGATATTCTACAAAGAAAAGTTAGGAGTTTAAATGAAAAGGTCCGGAGACGTGATCAAAAGATTGCACGATGCTCTGAAATCATCAAGCATCTTAAGGAAAAGAAATTCATCAACACCGAAGAGAGTCTCATTTTGGAAGAATGTGCAGGACCTGAAGATTTTCTAACACGGCAAATTTCAAAATCTAGAGGTCTGCCTTTAGAAAAAAAGTATTCAGAGGAATTAAGGAAATTTGCCCTTACACTTCATTTTTACTCCCCCAAAGCGTACGAATTTATAAGAAAGAACTACAACACTTGTTTGCCACACACTCGCACATTAAGCAAATGGTACCAACATATAGATGTTGAACCAGGCTTTACAAAAGAAGCTTTTGACACATTAAATAGAAAAGTCAAAGAAACAGTGCACCCTGTAATTTGCGCCTTAACACTAGATGAAATGTCTATTAGAAAATGTTTAACCTGGAATCCGATGGCACAAAAATTTTATGGTCGTGTTGATCTTGGTCATGATGTAAACAGTGATAGTGTGGAAGAGGCCAGCCAATGCTTGGTTTTATTATTAACAGCCATAAATGGTTCATGGAAATTACCAATTGGATATTTTCTTATCGTATCGCTTACCGGGGAACAGAAGGCGACACTTGTTCGAACAGCAATACAATTGTGTCAAGTTGCTGGAGTAAAAGTCATCAGTGTCACTTGTGATGGTCTAGCTGGGAATTTCAGCATGTTTACATCTTTAGGTTGTAATGTTCTGAGGGAACAAACATTGACCAATTTTAAAAGCCACGATAGTATAGTCCATATATTCATTGACCCATGCCATGCTGTAAAATTAGTGAGGAATGCTTTTGGAGAATTGAGAGTCTTCATTGACCCAATGGGTCGAGAAATAAATTACAAATATTTGGAGCTCCTTCTAGGTTTACAACAAGAGAAAGGTCTTCATCTAGCTACTAAAATTGGTAAAGCACATATTTTTTTTCAGAAACAAAAAATGAAGGTGAAGCTCGCAACACAATTATTTAGCAGTTCCGTGGCAGATGCCCTTGAATTTTGCCGCAACCAATTAAAATTAAAAATATTTGAAGACTGCAGTGGAACTGTAAATTTTATAAACATAATGAACCACGTGTTTGATGTACTCAATAGCCACTCTATTCGTCCACCTTGTTGGAAAAAAGCTATGTGCCCTCAAAACATTGGCTTTATAAGAGCGCTGTTTGAAAGTACTATTGAGTATCTAAAGAGTTTGAAACTTATTACGGGAGAGCTCTTAGTAGAGTCACGGCGAAAGACCGGATTTATTGGTTTGATAATAAATATGAAAAGTGCGTTAGCACTTTATGAGCACTTGGTAGAGGATACACAAATACTTAAATTCGTCCCACTGTACAAAATTAGCCAGGACCATCTGGAATTATTTTTCTCAGCTATTAGAGCTAGAGGTGGCTTTAACAATAACCCTAATGCTGTACAATTTCGCGCAGCATACAAAAAACTTCTAATAAGAGCTGAGATAAGAGAGGGCGGAATTGGTAACTGCATTACTCTGGAGCAGATAAATATACTCACATGCTCAAGCAAAAACCCAGTTAATGCAATAAATGAACTATCGCAACAAACTGACTTCGTCGAAATACCTGAAGATGATAGTGATCTCTACAATACATACATGGAGTATTTAGAAAGTACGGACCTAGACGAATACACACAAAGGGTGTTAGAATATATTGCAGGTTTCGTGACGCGGAAGTTGTCTCAAACGATAAAATGTGTCACCTGTGTATCACTAATGTTAGGGGATGAAAATCCAGACAGCTTGATTTACCAGAAGTCCCGAGGTGGTCTTCAGTATGCGTCTGTTGCAGTAATGGACATTATAAATAAAACCGAAAAATTGATAAAACCCGACCTCACGACCCAAAAGAAGCCAGAAAATTATTATTTATATATTTTTAAGTTTTTAACAGAGTATTATGAATACGAAAACATTTTCTATTTGCCACTCAATACTGAGCACAACATTAATCACAGATTGTTACTTATTAAATCTGTTATTAAAGGTTTTATTGATTGAAGGTTCCGATACCATGCAAAAAAGGTGACAGATAAAGTTTCTTTCAGAAACTATTTAAATAAGTTAATTTTATTCAGAAATGAGTAAATATTATAACTATTTAAAACCAGTTTTATTTACTCACTTTGTTATTTCTATCAATGTCACCATAATATAGGTCGCTTATTCAGATATGCTTGGTACTCCTATGATTCTCTAAACTATTTGTGTTGTGTTGGAAATACGGTTGATAACGAAGCTGCTGAAAACCTGAACCAGTACTGGGATTTTTTATATCATCTCAGTGTTTGCTGAGTGTCAATCCGAAATTGAAAAACAGGGGCTTACTATGAGCGTGATAATTTGTTTAAAATTATTCTTGAATAAAAAGAAATTACCACATGTTGCGTTTTTTTTTGTTTAACAGTTTTTAGGGTTCCGTACCTCAAAAGGTAAGAAAGGAACCCTTATAAGATCACTTTCTTGTCCGTGTGTCACCACCGATTTTCTAAGGAACGGGTAGACCTAGCAAGTTAAAATTTATACCAGATACTGAGGACTATGGTCCCTATTAGATTAAAATCAAGGTCCTGAGTCAACACGATAAAAAGATAATAGGCAAATTTCGATTTTCGCGAAAACTTGTTAGTACCAAAATTTACTTTAATTTTCATTTTTTTTTTACTTTTCAGAATTTTCTCTTTGTGCTGTAAGACATTGCTTTTAACCAAAATTGACAATTCAAGGTCAACCGGAAGTACCGGAGGAACCGGAGGTTTTGGGATATTGTAGTTCCCGTTGACCTAGAATCCAATGACCATAATTCCAAAAAATAAAAAGTTGAAAATTAAGAGAAATTTTGGTACTCACAAATTTTTGCTAAAATTCACGTAAAATCTGGGTAGGTATGGAACCCTCGGCGCACGAGTTCGACTCGTACCTGACCGGTTTTTTATGTGAAACATCTATCTATCTAACAATTTTACATAAAAAATAATTCTTTATTTTAAAACTAAAAAAAACCTTTCATGTACGATGAAGACTCCCACGTCTCTTCACTGGAACATCATTCTTTAGTTACACTGTCAGAATCGTCTGCGGCAGATTCCTCATCAGAGGAATTTTCTTTAGCCATGCGGGGTTCAACAGAAAACAACATTTCTAAGGCTTTTTTAGTATGTGGTATGGATTTCTTTCCTGGTTTTTGTCGTATACGAGACATTAAGGGATCTCAGCTGAGCAATAATCAATTCATTACATCTAGATTGTAGAACAAACCCCAGTTGCCCCAAAGATTAGGATTTTGTGCATTGTAGTAGTCATGTGTCAGGAAAATAAGTTTTTATAGATTTTCGCAGACTTATACCCATAAAGAGAAAACTTTATGGAAACTTGAAGGAACTTCCAAAAACACTTTTAAACGTCTTATTAGAATTAAATTCAAAAATTAATCCATCCTGGCGGATTCAGATTTAAAAAATCCTACCATGAATACATAACTAACACCACAACTAAAATTATTTAATGCTATCGATATATCTTCAATTCATTCAATATTTCACTCAAATATCGATATCGGCATTTCGAGTTGCTTTACATAAGACAACCCTAAAGGCAGCCATTTTATGCGCCAACTTTTTTGTAGGTATACACGATAATTTTGTAGGTATGGCTAGTCCATATATTCTTAGGTCAATGGTCGAATCGGACTTGGGTGAGTTTGATTTATACTGACATTGTGACTTAAGCAATATTGAAAAGAAAACTAATATTTTAAGCCTTATTTCAATGAGTAAGATTGGTCTTTGTTTGATTTGATCTGAACTGAAATCTTTATTTTCGCGCGCAAAATCAGGTATTCCAAAAACATTCAATACTGACTGTAGTGGACTTAAGCACGTTTGATATGTATCAACTCAAATATAATATACAGTTCTGCGAAATTGTCGAACAATATCCGGCTCTTTACGACTTTAGCAAGCCGGAGTACAGTAATAGAAATGTACAAGATAGATTATGGAGTGAAATAGGATTAAATGTCTAGTAATCTAATAGTTATCAATAGTCTTTCTTCAGCACAGACTGGTTCTCTCCAATTTGTATTCTGTTTCTGAAGACCGTGTTTCACTTTTGACATTATAATATGGAAACATTCTTGTGACATTTTATACACTGTGCGAAAACGATCAGGATATTCATGTAATCTGTCCATTATTTTAAAATATCTATGCTCTTCTGATAATTTCCACACGGGGTGGATCCAATATCTTCTGTGCCTCTGCACATTAATGAGTTGCAGCAAAGCAAGCGCATCTTCGTCATCTGAAGAGGAAGACATGCTATCGCAACGAAATCAGCCTGTATAATGACGCATCGTGGGAGTAGTCTTCAATCGACGCCCGACCATGTTTAAAAAGACCATGCCACTTGTAAATCATTGATTTACTAGGGCACGGTCCCCCATAAACGGTTTGAATTTCATTCCAAATGGTCTAAGCGTTCTTTCCTTGCTTGGTAAGTAATTTTATCACAGCACTATGTTCAATTTTCGGAACATTGCAGAAATGTAAATAGGGAATATGCATGTATTTTTTTTATATTTTTAAACGATTCTACTAGTTATTACATTACCAAAAATAAATATAACACATCCGAAATATAAACCGTTAAGCAAAAAAAATTTTATTAAAATCACTATCATTTTGGGGCAATTTGAACACGTCCATTTTGGCGCGCTTTTTTTTACTTGGCGCGATTAAATTTCACTATTAAATTATAATAAATTTCAAAAATAATTGTATGGGTATCTTTTTTTAGCAATAAAAATTACAAATAAAAATATTTTGTCCATTTTGGTGTCACGTGCATATTCCCTATTGATTTTCTCCATAGTTTCAGTTTTCTTCCGGATAGACCTTGTTTAGCAGGCGATAATCGTAAACCAATGAAGCAATAGGGCTGAAACTTAATTTATATACTAATTAGGAGTCCCCAATTAGTTTGACACTAAGCGAGCGCCCCTATTCCCACTCCATCCACCTCACCTCACCATCCTCCATTCCACGAACTTTTGGACCTCCCTCGTATATACTTTTCACTTAGAGAACCCCACAGAAGAATCTAGCGAGGAGAAATAGCGCGGTCTTCATACACCTGTAACCAATAAAAGTAAGTATATTTAACTGCTAGATTTTTGTCAACTAAAGTCCTTACTTAACATGGTGAATCAGAGGTGTGTACTTTTATTTCATTCATAGTCAATGAGATTCCCACAAATATATCATCATTATACCTTTCCAATATAAATTACAAATGATTATTTATATAATTTTAATAATTACCTCAAAAACAGGATGGCTTCAAGAATAGCTCCGAATCAAGAGTGCTTTAGTCGTCTATAAAAGCTGCAACAATAATAAAATATAATTAGTCAATTGTCTTGAAGGGAATTTCCCATTTAATGAATAACTTGAATCAGAGGGGTGTTGTTTTTTTTCATTTCTAATCAACGAGATTCCCACAAATATATCATCATTATCTATAGTAATTTTAAAATAATGGCTCTGGATAAAAAAATAGTTATAATATTTACCTGCAGTAATGTGTAAGACTTGTATGAAAGTTCAATGTCCAAAAACTTCTTTTCACAGACTTTAACAGCATACTAAAAACATTACAATATGGATTAGTATACTTCAAATAATAAACAGTAAACTAAAGATTTTCAAAGCAGTTATAGTTCTTACCTTTTCCTCTGAATCATTGAACTAACCAGAAATATGGTTTTGCTAAAGAAATGTATAAAAAATAGACGCTGTAATTATTTTACAGGCTTAAAATAAAAGAAAACCTTAAGAACTTTTACTTTTTATTCTTATAAAATATAGTACAGCATTAGTTTATATGATGCCGATCTTGTTGGCAACATCTAACGCGTCATAGTCCCTTGCTAGCCGCACGTACGCCTTCTTCTTGCCATCAGGCCTGCAAAACATACGACAGTTATAGCTATTGACAAAAAATAACAATAAATGATATTATTGTGAATGCCAAATCAGAAGTGTGTTAATTTGATATCATTCTCTATCAATGAGATTCCCACATAAATATCATCATGATAGCAGTTTAGAAATGGTAATTTAAAAATAAATTTCCAAGAATATACCTGATTAGGGTGTTCACTTTAGCGACATTGATGTCATAAAGTTTCTTGACAGCAGCTTTAATGTGGTGCTTATTAGAGCTGGTGTGAACAATGAATACCAGAGTATTGTTGTCCTCAATTTTTTTCATTGCAGCTTCAGACGTCAATGGATACTTTATGATATTATAAGCATCCATACTGTAAACACGAAGAGAAGTAACATAACTTATACAATACAAGTAAACATTTAAAGGCCCGTATGTTAAAAGTTCTCTCAGTCGTGAATCTAGTCTTAAAACTAATTTTTATTAATTAATTATTTTTTATTATTAATTTTTTATTAATTAACTAATTTAGGATTTTTATTATTGAACGTCAGTTCACGTCACGTCACACTTAAGTATGGATTCTCGTAAAACGAGATTCACCAATCCATACTCAAGTGAGCGATAGCTTATTTTAGAATCATGTTTATGTCGAAATCTTTACTCAGGTATAGATTTTGACAGCCGTGATCTCCGTTTAAGTGAGAGAAGCTGAAACTAGTCTCAAGCGGTGATTTCTAGTGCATTTTAGGGGAAATGAATGTGTTTTACGATGATTTATTTCTGTATAATTACGAAAGATTTACTTTATTTTAGACTTGCAACGAATAGTATATTCGGCAGTATACCGAATACCGAATATTCGGCGAGGCCCCTGACCGAATAGCCGAATATTAGGCAAAAGTATTCGGCTGGATTTTAGCGCCAAAAACTTGTACAGACGTGAATTAAATTATGTACCTGTTTTATGTACCAATGACTACTTAATAAATGATTATAAAAGAAATAAGAACCTTACCCTTCTAAATTTTGATTACCACAATAATTCAAATACATAAAATCCTCTATTTTTCCAATTCAGAAGATGATTATGTACCTGTGTTATGCACCAATGACTACTTAAATGATTATAACAGAAATGAAAATATGAATATATACGTAATCAATCGATTTTAATTTTTCATTTTACCAATTATTTCTCAATGACAAAATATATTATTTAAGTATTCGGTATTCGGCCGAATAATATGTAGATATTCGGTATTCGGCCGAATATAATAAAAGCAGCCGAATAGGCCGAATACCGAATAGTAACCGAATATTCGTTGCAAGTCTACTTTATTTACGAAATAATTACTTGTCATACTGTAATCAATTTACCTTAATTGATATTAAATTCACTGAAATTCACATTTTACACAATACTTGTTTAAATTAAAATCACCACAACCTTTTGGTTTATGTTAAACATATAATCACATCATCATCACTTGTCAACAGCCTTTCATAGTCCACTGCTGGACATAAGCCTCTCCTTAGAAAGGAGGTTTTGTGCTTCCATACCATGCTGGCCAGACCGGTTGGTAAAGGGTTTGTGTCAAGTTTTCCTTCTCTCTGTAGTGCTGTAATTTTCTCCCTTAGTCGGCTCTTACGACACCCACAGGATGAATAGGGGTCGTGACACTCTGTATTCTTAATCCGTCACCACATGGACCAACATATAATATTATTCTAGTAATATCAATTTTAGAAATATATTTTTTTTTTTATTTTAATAATTAGCTGTGTAATACAGAATAATAATGTCAATCATGCGGAAATGTAAATTGAGAACAGACTAATTTCAAACCAATACTTGAAACTAGTTTGAACTGAGTAAAATTAAAACGCGTTCTATAATAAGATTGATACTTAAGTTTTGACCTGCATCTAAAACTAGTTTCAGGCAATCAGTGTTCAACCGATCCTTGAGACATCTTTTTTTAAAAAGACGTAGCAAGTATTGGTTGAACATGGGCCTGTGTATTAGGAATTTTTCAGATGTTAAATAATTGGGGAAGGTGGTAAACTTAAAAAATAACCCTATTAGTAGTAAAACCTCACTAACTGTTTAAGACCACTAATACTGTCACAACACGATACAACACTACCATTACAAAAATATGGAATCCTGTTACTATCACCACTGCTCAAATTTCTTCAATTTCAAACTTCAAACCATAATCAGAAGGGATCATCAATCTTAAAACAATATTTGAACATAATTGTTTTGGCTGTTTCAACAGCTAGCAATGTTTTTTTTAGTACATTTTTCCTGTCACAACAGATTACTAAGAGTTGTTTAGAGAAATAATTTAAAGAGCTCTTTCAAACCATTCTAAAAGTTGTGTGAGGCCTTTTTATAGTATTTGTGTATAACTTCTCTGCATGATACAAATTATTCATGTTAAATAAAATGTATTTTCAAATAGAATTCTGTGACAGCTATAATATCACCAAAATAGATTGAACAACAGTTTAGCTCGTGAAAATATTTTCTGTACATAACATATAATTATTTGTTATTTTTACTGCCCCATGCAACTTTCGTCTGAAAGAACTATTCAATTTGAACAATCAGTTCTGGAGAAATATTTAACCAAATAAACTCTTCAGCTTGATATTAGTACACATTATTTCACCCTTTGGGGTCAAACCCTTGATGTTGACATGCTGACTACAACTGTCTACAATTCTATTGTTTTATGAGAGTCACTTACCGATTCCTCTTGGGAAGTGATTTCCTTGGATACTTAGGATGCCTTGGTGGTTCAAAGGTCTTTGGTCGACGGAAGTGCACAGATGTGCGAATCTTGCGCACGCGCTTTCCATGCTCACCTTTAACAACCTGCAAATTTTTTTTTCATACATAAAATACTTCCAATAAAATTAATTGTCTTTTTATGTTTTCAAAAGCAGATTTTAAAATAGAGGAGTTGTTAACAATTAATCCCTCAAAGTTAACAAAAACTGATTTTATACAGAAGTATGTGGTTATTCATATGGAGGTATTACATTGTTTTTTAAAGGTGGATAATTGAGATAATTTTAGGAAAATGTGTTGCATTATGAAACTTGAGCACACGTCTCTATCGAAAACGTTTAGACACTTCATTTCTTTTTTATTAACCAAATTAACCAACAAATTTGTTGATCCCATATATTTACATGATCAACAGCCTTTAAAAGTCTGCTGCTGGACATAGGCCTCTCCTTAGGAAGGAGGTTGGTATCGGGTTTGTTTCAAGTTTTCCTTCTCTTTGCAGTGCTGTTGTCCTGTGTAGTTTGCTCCCTTAGTCGTCTCTTACAACACCCACAACATGAATAGGGGTGGTGACACTCCATATTCTTAATCCGCCACCACACACAATTCTATAAATATAAAGATGCTTTAAATTTGACAAGCATACCTTTCTTTGCGCTTTAAGAGCCTTGGCCACTGGTTTCACAACTTGCTTCTTTTGTCCTTTGATTCCAGTCTTCTTGGGTTTTGGTGCAATCTTCAACTTGGCAGCAGCAGGTTTAGGCTTGGGTTTAGAAGCAGATGCAGCTTTCTTGACTGATGGCTTAGCACTTGATTTAGCCTTCAAGGCAGCAGCTTTAGCAGAGCCAGGCTTTGCAGTAGGAGCTGAAGCTGGTTTCTTCTCTGCACTCTTTGCAGCAGCTGCTGGCTTAGCGGCAGGGGCAGACGCAGGTTTAGCAGGAGCAGGTTTGGCAGCCGAAGCAGCTTTCGGTGCAGCAGCAGCCTTGGGGGCTGGAGCTGGTGTCTTGGCTGACGCAGGTTTTGGTGCTGCACTCGCTGTGGAAGCGGTTTTAGGTGCAGCTGCCGGTGTTTTGGCCGTGGCAGGCTTCTTTTCTGCTGGTTTGGCCCCGGAGGAACCTATGATTACCAAAAAAAACTGATAACATGTTTACCTAACCTCAACCATTTAAGAAATTACTAACTACAAAAAATTCCTATTCAGATAAATTAAATCCATTACAAAGGCTTCATAAGACCCAGAATGGATTTAACATTACATTTTAAGTATAATTTATATCATGGGAATAGGTGATCCCACAACAAGTACCGCGTGGCTCAATAAATGTCACTTGTATTATGCGAAAATCCAGTTCCACTGCATGTATCGTAAAAATGATTACACAAAACCTAGGCAGGATTAATCACAAGTAGATTGTAATTCACTACACAAATTCGCAAATTTTTCATTACATACCGGATTTTTCGGGTTGCTTCTTAGGAGGCATCGTGACAAAAAAGATGGAGGACGAAATGTTGTGTTGCCATAAGGATAAGGAACAAAGTTTTTCTCTATATTTTAACTTGGTAACAATAAACCATCTAAACAAAATGCCATGTTGATTTTACTTTTAATATTTTATCATGCATTTTTGTTCTTTTGTGTATTTCTGAAAAAAAATATTCATACAAAACTTTTACTACATTATAAAATTAGTCACATGCCATAATACGTTAAATTTCCTAAACATTATTATTTTGTAAACGCATCTCTTCCATCAACGAAATATTTTTGAGAGAAAATCATTTAGTGATTAGTAAATTACGGTTACGAGCTTGATAATTTGATTGAATATCGATTTACTCTTTGGTTCACTCTTGCCATGTTGTAGGCCTTTTACACGCATGGTGAGCCTTGACAAGTAACCTTCGAACAACCGTGTAATTGAGGTGTTTGGCTCGGCTCGCGTATGCTCGTTTACTGGAAAATAATCTAATCGTCTTTTAAATATTATTTAAAAGACGCTATTAAACGAATAGTCATTTAATATCACCGGGAGTGTTAATGTGTATTTTTATATATAATTTATTACATTTATTAGAAAAAAATTCAAAAACATACGTAGTGGGTAGAAGTTTTCTGTATAAAAGTTATATGCTCCGACCCGAGCGCATAACGATTACAGTAATACTATGAGAGTTAATTGCCACTTACCATCAGGTAAACTGCAACCGCCTTCATCCATCGCGAAGTAAAAATATACAATACCTGTTAGGTTTTGTATCCTGATTTTGAAATTCTTTGCACAATTTTCGAATATGCAATAATCAGTTATTATTGCATATTCGAAAATGGACACTGCGTAGAATATCGTTTCTTCTTTAAATTGCGTAGAACAAACATCATTTTTTAAAAGTAAAATACATATGTAATATATAAAATTATACTATATAATTCATTTTATTCAGATGTTATGATGCTATATCATGTTTTCTTCTCTTAATTCAATGGCTGCCTCCGTGGTACAGTGGTAGCCTATGCGACTGCTGTGCAAATGTTTGTACGATCTGCAAATATTTGTTCCGGAGTTCAAAAAAAGTATATAAGTATTCTATCAGTCAATCTAGTTTTCATAGTACAAGCTCTGCTTAGTTTGAAACTAGATGTCGTTGTGTGTCAGATGTCCAAAAGATATTATTATGATGGGTCCATCGGTTATCGACGATTTTAAATAATGATAAATAGGAGATGATGAAAATAATGAACAGTCTAAACAAATGATAAAACATTATTCACATATTTTTTAAAGAGTGCGTTTAAGGTTTATTTTAGTATATGACGTCGTGTAATTGTGTATGGTAAGTAAAAACTTGTGCATCCAAACATTGGGGAATTATTCACGAAAAACTGTTTCCACTGGGACAACGTTGTCCCAGGGACACTTTTTTATACTATGGACGTAGAAGAAAACAATGGTTTCAAAACTTAGTGTGTGAAATATTCAAGTTTTCGTTGCGACAACGTTTGGCCATTTGCTAGGTTTCATATGAAACCCTTTCCTAGAGAGCTTTAGATTCTTTCATACTTTGTTTTAAATTTATTTATAGGTACTGTTTGTAAAAACGGATTTAAAAAACCATACCATTCAGAAGATACAAATATAAACGTAAAATGAGGTTGTTAGGTCCTAGTAGTCGTACTAAATGATTATGCACTAGGGTTTAGTTTATAACATTTATACCTTGTAATTATCTACAACGTCTTGACCATAACTGGACTGCCATGGATACGTCAACCCCATCGTGCCTTATGCTATCTACCTTCAACATATTCTTAAGAATAACAAGAGACGAGAAATACTAATCAATGAAGTAGGTAAACTAATTGACTAAGTCTTTTTGCCACTTCTGATTTTGGTTGTGCTAAAATTGCTTCTGTCAACCTCACGTCTAATATTAATATTTATTTTATTAAGCTACCGTAGCACAAACATGAGGCGCATCGAGCCACGTGTTGCAGTGCACTTTTACTGTCTGTAAAAATGGACAAAGCTTGTAATATTGCAATGAGTTCCAACGTCAAAATAGATACTCCTGATTGATCTTATCTTCCTACCACTATCAAGGCCTGATTCTGAATGTTATTTATATATACATATATATATATACATATTTAATAGACATACACACAACATATATATATATATATATATATATACATACAGTCCAAAATATCTATACTAATATTATAAAGCTGAAGAGTTTGTTTGTTTCTTTGTTTGAACGCGGTAATCTCAGGAACTACTGGTCCGATTTAAAAAAATCTTTCAGTGTTAGATAGCCCATTTATCGAGGAAGGCTATAGGCTATATATCATCACGCTAAGACCAATAGGAGCGGAGCACCAATGAAGAATGTTTCAAAAACGGAGAAAATTTATTACTATTGAGCGACGCAGACGAAGTTGCGCGGGTCAGCTATTTTAAATATGAAAGTGAGTGTGTTTGTTTCTTTGTTACGCTTTCACGGCCAAACCACTAAACTGATTTCAAAAATTCTTTCACCAATGGAAAGCTACATTATCAGCGAGTAATTTAAGCTACTTTTTACCGTGATAACTGACATACACATGGGCGGTCCCTCGTGCAAAAACTAGTAATATTATAAATACGAAACTAACTATCGTTCTGTTACGCTTTCACGGCTAAACCGCTGAATCGATTTTAATGAAATTTGGCATGGAGAGAGTATGATTTTTGAGGAAGGACATAGGCTAATTAACTGACATACACGCGGGCGCAGCTAAAAAAAAGTAAGTTTATTTCAAACCTAGGTAGCTATCCTATTCTGTATCCTAAATCTATAGACAGATAGATAGATAAATACTTTATTTGTACACCAGGGTTTTACAGGCTTTATAAAGTAATTAACAACAGATGTAATGTACAAAGGGCGGCCTTATCGCTTAGTGTAATTTCTTCCAGGCAACCTTTGGATGGACTGGATTCATTTTGAACTGGTGATAGGTATACATAAATTAGAGAAGTAAATAAGGTCTTAACCTATGAAATATTTATTATACATAAATCCTACTACTATAGAAATAAATAAAATTGAAGTGTCTGTTTGTAATATAGGTTAGGTAATAGGTTTTTTTCATGCTCACACGGCTATTTGTACGATGTCTATGCCTAAAAACTAGTTTGAATGTTAGTTGTCTGTCTGTTTGTTCCTGTTAAGCTTCAAAACGGCTAGCCCGACATTGATAATATTTTACTAACAGGTAGCTGTCTATGTACCTAAGGAATGTTTTAGCTATTTTTCTTCCCAGAAAAACCCTATAAAATTTTGCCCCATCTGGGATCCAACCCAGGCCTCACGTACCGTATTACACCACTAAGGCAGCGCTTTACAGACCCCACGCGAACGAAGTCACGGGTACCAGCTAGTTAGAGATATACATATATACTCTTCGTAAATGTGTCATGTGTACCCCCCAAGAACTGCTTACTGATAACTTTATTAGATATGTTTAGAAACTTGATACATTTTTGACCACCTCATTGGTATTCTTTCTCTAGTTGGTCTAGTTGGTATGTGGTCCGATAGGGGCTTACCCTATCGGACCACATACCCAGATACTTTCTATGTCCTGTGCTAAAAAGACAATATTGCGTCTTGTTTGAAGATACTAGATAAGTAATTCTACTATCATATTCAAAGCATACTGAACGTACATTTCACAGAGATAATGTCCTTTTTACTAAAATATAAAAGGAAATCATCCACGTATTGCAATAGAAATACATTTTGAAGCCTATGACATATTTTGTAAAAGTAATGGAGAAAGTGGTTCTCTTTGAGCTAAGCCCTTGTTAGTATATCTGCTTATCGTCATTTAATTTTAGCTTTAAATGCCTCTCACTTAAAAACCACCAGAGATATTTACAGATCCTCGAACCGATGTTTAACTTATCAAGTACGTCTACTGCTACATCAATTGAAATGTTATTGTAAACGTTTTCGATATCAAAAAAAAACAGATAATGTTGGATTTCTTATCTTTTAAAAATCATCAAATGAAATGTTTTACATATACACGATATTACGGATATGGGTCGTAATTTAATTTCAACATTTTTATTATTGGTTTTGGGAATAGGAACTATTTGGATGATTCGCCATTGAGAGGGAATGACACCATATTTAAAAATAATATAGCTAAAAACTATTTACTTGCTGTATATAATTATAAAGCAAGTAAATAGTTTTTAGCTATATACGGTAAATAGTAAAGCATTGTATACGACATACTGTCTTCACCTTTAGATGAATCTTTCTTTTTTAAAACGTTTTGAAGTTCATGAATTGAAAAGTCCTTTTCCAAAGCCACATTTCTAGACGCAAAAATGGGTTCTGAATTAGAATCAAATTCTGCAGTTAGAGAATTAAATAAAACCTTGTTTAAACCCTTTTACCCATTCCATACGCTGCCAAATATTAGAAGCTGAAACTTGTTCATTCAAGGAATCACAAAACTTATGCCAACTACGCGATTTTGCTCTTCTACTTAACATCTGAGATTTTTTGTTACGTTCTCTAAATTTGTAAGATTATCAGGCGTAGGGTTCTGTCTAAAGTTAGCCAAAGCCAACCTTCTCTATGCGACTATTTTAGACAATTCTGGACTCCAATAATACTTTTGTTTTGAATTTGTTATTGGGCTTGTTACATATTGACTGACTTCTGACTGTTCTCCCTTCTTCTTTAGTTAACTTGCAGAGTGTGATGTTTGGAAGAGCATAGTGTCTATTACTTTGAATGCAGTGGGTTCTGATTGTCTAAGCCGCAATATGATCCTCCTAATCCTCGATGCAATCCTTCCTGTTGTTTGACATATGCTTAACGATTCTATTACCTACAGCGTTTTTCCAACGGCTTGGAAGGATGCTGAAATTATACCCATCCCCAAAAGAAAAACCCCGCATCCTTCTCCGATTACCGCCCTATTTCCGTCCTCCCCTTTCTCTCTAAGGTCCTTGGACGTCTTATTTATTCTCAACTTACGAACTTCCTATCCAGAAACCTACTTCTAAATCCACTCCAGTCATTTCATCCAGTTTTCGACCTGGTCACAGCACCACTACTACCCTAGTCCATATTACGGAGGATGTCAGATCTGCTATGGTGAACGGCGAGCTTACAGTCCTAACACTGCTGGACTTCAGTAACGCATTCACACTGTCGACTTTGACGTTCTGCTGCGCAAATTACGAACTCTTAACATATCTCCAACTGCGATTGACTGGTTTCACAACTACTTGCTTGGTCGCCGGCAGCGCATTAGTATTGAGAGCACTGTTTCATCTTGGTGTAGGACTATAGCCGGTGTACCGCAGGGCGGCGTGGTATCTCCACTACTTTTCTCTGTTTTTATCAACACTATCACTAATAATCTATCTTCTTCCTACCACCTGAAGATCTATTCTCGGGCTACACCGGTTAATCTGGCTGATGCTGTTAGCACTACAAACGTTGACCTAGATAAAACATGTAGGTGGAGCAAATCCGACGGTCTGAATATCAACCCAACTAAAATTCAGGTCATTGCCATTGGAAGTTCGAGAATGATCCAAACTTGACTGGATAAAACTCGATGAAAAACTGAACAAAGCCTGCATTATCTTCTGTCAATGCAAACGGCTACTCGGCCAAAGCTGGGGACTATCACCCAAGATTACTATATGGCTTTACAGAACAGTCATAAGACCAATAATCACTTACGGTGCTGTTGTCTGGTAGCAGAGAACAGAGCTAAGCACCGTCATAAACAAATTGCAGCAATTCCAGCGACTCCCATGCTCTGCGGTCACTGGATGTATGCGCACAACGCTAACTGCCGCACTGGAGGTGGCTCTGGGTCTGCCCACACTGGATTTATTCATACAGCAGGAGGCCGCCATGGCGATAATTAGACTCAGACACGTGGGCCTATGGCATAAGAGTGAGGGATCGCACTCCAAATTATGGGATCAATTGGTTGAATACGAACCACTAATAGCAGCCCCATGCGATAGAATCCCAAAACTCCACATCTTCACAAAAAGATACCACATCCAGATGCGAGAAAATGACCGAGATCAATCCGGCATTAATGAAGTTCGAATTTACACGGACGGTGCCAAGACTAGGTCAGGAACTGGAGCCGGAGTTTTCTCGCAAGACCTAAATATGAACATATCACTAGCGTTAGGCCAACACAGTTCCATATTCTAATGCGAATGTGTGGCAATAACTTACGCCGCCATAACGGCCATGTCAAGGGGTATCAAGGACTAAGTATAACATCCGAATACTATCCGACAGCATGGCCGTCCTAAAGGCACTGGAGGGCAACACAATGACCTCTGGTATTATCCTCGAATGCCATCAAGCATTGGAGCAGCTTGCCACATTAAATGTGGTACTCCTCCAATGGATTAAAGGGCACAGTAACTCACACGGGAACGATGCCGCAGATGAGTTGGCAAGAAAGGGCTCGGCAACCCCAGCTACCGGCCCAACCATACTCCTGCCAATACCATTTAACCAAGCACGATTCTGGGCCAGGCAACGGACTCGTGAAGCACACAACCGGAGGTGGAAAAACTCACCCGGCTGCAGACAGTCCAAACTGGTGATGACTCAAGTCACACCACGGCTCACCTGCAGATTGATTAGTCTTAGCAGACTGGCAATCCGAATACTATAACTTTACACCTAGCCCTGAACCGACACCTATTCATCATCAATGGGACGGACAGCCCTCTGTGCAGGGGATGTCTGGAAGCAGAGGAAACGGCCGCCCACGTTGTCCTGCAATGCGAGGGAGTGGCCGCACAACGGGCAAGTATAATTCCTGAGACAAAATCGCTCCTAGAAACCTGTGAATGCCCCAGGAGGCTTCTGCGCTTCTGGAAGGAGCTTGGTTGGCTCACCTAGCTAACCAATCCTCGACGCATAAAGGACCACTCTTGAGTCTAAATGCGGAAACCGAAGCCCACAACCAATACCAATAGGTAGGTACTAACGTTTTATCGTTTTGAAGCTGTTAACTTACTGGCAGGGCCAAAACAGTATGGGAAAGGGCCTAATAATGAAAAAATATCTATTCAATAAAACTAGTCTAATTTTTGTATATATATAATATATCTACCTACTTAGATTAATATAAAGGTTATTAAATTCTATTAATAAAAACAATGTTCTTGTTCAATGTCACACTTAGTAAAATAAATTACACATATATTAAGTAGTTTAGGGGCAATGGAGAATTTCGAACATGCATCAACATTGGCTACTGTCATGTCAGCAGTGCTCATTTGCTAAAGTGGAGAGAAGGAATAAACTATAGCGCTGTCTAATTGAACTTTGTTAATACATACTAAAATTTCACTACAATGAGTAGACTTTAGAGTTCGGTATCATCCAATGCACCTTACTACAATATGTAGCTTTCACATTGAATTTGTCTAAATAAAGTTAGCACTAGGGCTTTGATATCAAAACTTATAACTACATAAATTAGAATATATATTATTTGTATATATATAATGAAACAAGTTGAAGAATACTGAATTACATCAAGTACCCACCAAGTATTCACAAAGACTAACAAATACATTTAGTGAGATGTGGAAGGAATAAACCTATATCTTACAGGTTTAAAAAGCATATTATTCTCATGCGGACACTGCTGACACAAGACCAATACTTTTTTATACTGAATACATAATTTTTTTGCTTAGTGGTATTTTAGACTGCATGTTATTATGGTTTAACAAGCATATGCCCAACTCGTGATACAGACCCATTAACCAAATTCACTTGGGGCTTGACTTGAACATGCAGTTGTACGAAGAAACGACCCAATGTTAAGTTGTGGTGTATTGTAATTTGTATTAACTGAGCCTTGAACAGGTGATTGTAAATTGTTTTGAGGTTGAATTGGCCTTTTCCCTATGATTAGCGGAAAACATTCGTCTGATATACCAGATAATGCAGTTTGGACTCGTTTCATCCGATTAGCACATTCCTCAAAATGATCAGTAATATATTTTAATTCAGGAATGGATGTAAGGCTGTAATGTGTTTTCAGATTTTTGTCTATAACTTTTAAACCTTCAGAACTAGTAAAATTAGCTTTTTCGCCACCATAAAAAAACATATCGATATCAGTACCATTTTCCATAAGTTGACATTTAGCCAAAGATGTATACAATGTTATTTTAGGTGTTTTAGCTTTCACCAATTCTACAAAGCGTGAAGCATACAAATATTTTTTCCAATGTTTTTGTGGTAAGTTGTGATATGTAAAGACTTCATCAGGAGTAGGATCATGATCTGCATTAACATTTCGTGTCTTGTTATCTACCATATAAATGACAACCTTCATACCATCTTTAGATATTTTACATATTTCTACTATTTGTTCTTCTCTATCTTTACCCTTTTTTTTAATAAACTCTACTACTACTCCAGATTGTTCTATTTTTAATATAGCATTTCGCGTTCTGTGTGAGATTGTAGGTAATCTGTTAGCACAGAGTGGAGGTACACTTAGGCCAATGTTAGTATTAATACTGCATGATTTAGGTAAGTTTTCTTTGTTTTCTTCTGTATTTGCATTGAATTTACTTGTCAGAGTTTTGCCTTTTAATTCCAATTTCTTAATATTTTCTAACAATGATACTTTACTATTACATGGACTCTCACTTTTGCCTAAAACATTATAATTCTGATTTTTCAAGTCATATAGATCTGCAGAACCATGTTTCTTTCTTGTGCATATGTTATAGTTTTGATCATTTGAATGTGATGAACATGAGTTGTTTTCTTGCATTCCCATAAATAAATTAAATGGCAGAGGCTTCACCTGGTTTAGGTTTCCTTTTAATTCGTTACCAAAACAATCAGGAACATGCTCATTATAATTTCGAATTTTATTACTATGTTGAGTACTATGTAATGTTGTTAGGCAACCAGAATCTCGTGATACATCTTGTTTTGAAATATTACCATGGTTTAGAAATGGATGTTCTACAATAGCTTTTAGTGTTATTCGCTTAGTAGGATCTTTACACAAAAGTTTTGTCAATAAATCTTGTGCTTGCACTGAAAGCTCAGCTGGCATTTTGTAATCAGCGTTGATTACTTTATTAAGAGTGGTTTTTACATGCTGAGTATGAAAAGGTGGGCTGCCAACTAAAAGTGTGTACAGCATACATCCTAATCCCCAAACATCTGCTGGTAAGCCATGAAATTCTCTTGAAGCAACTTCAGGTGATATATAATTTGGTGTGCCACACATAGTAACATGTTTTTCATCCGGGCCATTTAATTGAGTGGCTAAACCAAAGTCGGCTATTTTTACATTTAGATCTTTTGTTAACAATAAGTTGTTTAATGATAGGTCTCTGTGTATGATATTGTGAGTATGTAAATATAATACCCCACTCAATACTTGTTTGAAGATATCTGCAGCTGCTTTTTCTGAAAGACCTCGTGTTCCTAACTTGAAATGCTTTGCTAACTCACCATTATGAGCTAATTCTAAAACTAAATAAACATAGTGTGCATCTTCAAAAAAAGTATATAATTCTAATATAGCAGGATGTTTAAGGCGAGAATGGATGGTGACTTCTTGTCTAACTCTGCCTATCATACCAGCACTTGCCATAAGCGCCTTGTCTATCATTTTGATAGCAACAAATAAACCTGTTCTTCGACATCTTGCTCTATATACATGTGCAAATCCACCTTTACCCAGATGTTCTAGTATCTCATAATCTTCAACTTTTTCACCAAACATTCTATAAAATTAAAATATTCTAGTATCATGAGTAAAGCTGTCTTTTCTATATAGTTCATTTATGTGTATCTTCTGTATTACATCCATTATTTTTTAGTATACTGAAAAAAAGATTTTGTGTATGATTTAACAAGAATTGCAACATGATCTAATCCTACCAAAATTAATTTCTACTTATTAGATTTAAGATTAAAACAAAAAAGAGGAGTTGCTAGATACCATGTTTTAATTTTGTAATTTGCTTAAATTTCTGAACATTAATAAAGTCGACTCAAAATTTACCTTATTCACAATCCATTCAGAATCTTCTATACTCTTAGCGATTATATCTTTAACTCTCTGGGCGTCCGATTCAATTTTATGTTGCTTATAACTCTAAAATAATTAAATAATTTTAGTATCATTCATAATTTTACACAGGCAAGAGTTTTAAGTTTTATTCCTTAACAAACTTCGGGCTACCTATTAGGTAACCAAAAGATAACAAACATGCGGGCGCCTCAAAATAGATACAGGTATTTGTCATGTTTTTTTAATTCGAAAGCATTAATTTTTAAGTACCTGTTTCACTGAAAACTTGTAATGTTTACAAGCGTCAGGGGGTAGCTTTTCACACTGCCGTAGTAAATATTTATATAACTGCAGAGATGTCATAACAACTTTTTGATCATTAGTAAGACACCTTCGAATTGTAATAAGCATTTAAGTATACAATTTGTTTCAGAAAATGAAGATACGATTATTAACGATAAAGTTTTAATTACACTTGCCGGTTCCTTAAAACAATTTTCCCATTTATTTAATTTTTATCTCAACCTTTCATTTTACAGACCAGTCGGCAGACTCGCCAGTCAGACCACAGATAACTATACCTGTGAACTATACTAAGTAGTAGTCAGACATTTATAGCACAATTTATAGAATTTATGAATTAAGGGAAAAAACATAATACAGATTATTAATTTACACTATCATAGCAGCAGCAGCCTGTTGCAGTGCATAGCGGTTGGCGATACTAGCGAGATGTTTAAGTCGATTTTTTATGCTTAAAATATTTCCTTCACGTAATAGTAATTATGTTAACTTGTCAACGATTCGCCCAAGTCACCCAAAGAGCGACTTTGGCGCACGTTTGCGATTGAACTTGTTTACCAATAGTCCACTGTATGTGCCACTCCTGTATAACAAAATTGACAATATTTATTTCAATTTGTTATCTGTCTGAAAAAAGACTAGCGTATTACTAAAAGATCTTGTTATTGAAAAAATAATAAATTCATTGAACTAATAATAATAAAACTCATCTTATAAATGTAATTGCTAAATTAATGAAATGCTTAAATTCACAAGCGACAATCGGTCGATTAGAGTCCACACAAATCTATTTTATCCGACTTTGTGCGACCTTTAAGTCTGATGATTTTGACCTTAAATTGTAAAACGGTAGTAATATATTGTAGGTATTTTATAGGTATTAGTCTCTTTTTTTAGCCTTAATGTTTAATATCTAAATTATAGTTCTACAGCAAAATCTTAACCTAAATTATAAAGCAAAACTTTAATTGAAAATTAAAAGTAAACTAATTCCCACATTACTGCCTAAAGAAAAATTTTTTTTTTTTCATACCGACGACCGACTGAAGCTAACTGTTATTTAAAATCAAATGTTTAAAATAAATAGGGAGGTTCACTAAGCAAAGTTTAAAAAAACAGATTAAATACACAATCTGGGTCCTGTTAGTACTATTTTATCTGTGGTCAACACACTCATCCATCATCTTTCCTTTGAATAGAATAAAATTTTGTAAAACAAAAAATGGGCGAAGTTGTGATAGATTGTTCATAATGCAATCAGGCATGAGTATATGGGAACTATCTAGTGATATATGCTACTAAATTTTACTTTATATGTATTGAATTATCTAAGGATTAGTGTTGTGATAAGTCAGTAATTATTCCTCTTTATGTTTGTGATTGTATTACATACCTTGATAATGATTCCTTAACGCTAATGTGGTATGGCACTTGTTACAATTCGACGTTCTCCGAGTGTGCAAACACCTAGGAAAACGGTGAGTACTGGCTCCTCTGAACTAGTAATAAAGATCTTTTATGTTTTGATGTTGTGTCAAATTGATCAGGCATGGAGTAGCAATAAGGACCTATATTTACTGAATTTATATATAATTAATATATATTGTTATCATAGATAATAATAATGTCAAATTGTTTAGTATAGTAGTAGTACATTTTTACAAAACACATTGTATCTTTATATCTTGTTTTACCTTCCCAAGTTTTAACCAAGACCTTAACATGATGTTGTTTCCCATTTAAGATGGGGTAGCATTAATGCAGAACTATTATTCACAATTAGAAATATTTTTTGAATCAGGATGAGGCAGAAAAATCAAGTGATAACATTGAAGACGATGTTGGAGATCGTGTCAGCAAGAGGTAGGTAATGTTTTAAACATTTTAAGTTTTTTTTTAGGTTGTTTCTGTATTTGTTTATTTATTTCTGTATTGCTAGAACCGAAGTGTTACCTAAATACAAATAAGCTAAATTGTATAGGATTGAAAACAATTGTATAATTGAATTCAAGGGGCAAATATAAGTTTAAAAGTATGTAATCTATCATAATTCTTACCCTTTTTAAAGTTTTGTTTCAGTGTAATTTTTTTTTTTTATATTTATCACAATCATAAGCTTAAAATTATATTTTAATTCTCTTACATAACTTTCAAGATAATACTGGATTTCTTTGTCTTTAACCAATTATAAAGGTTTTTGGTGTTTCTACTTTTAAAGTCATTATTATTACAGCATTAAGTGAAGGTTATTCTCATGTTGTTAATGAGTTTTAGGTATTGACCTCGATTTTTTCTGACGAAGCTCCTTTTGTATTTTATCAACATATTGTGAATGAATGTCACATCCTACAGTGATCATAATGATGCAGTGTCAATATACTGCAGATGCCACTTAAAATTCGAGTGGTATGTAAATATGTAATATATCCATACAAGTAAAATTCTAGTATATATAAAATTTTCCTATATATATTGTCCTGTAGTGTATTTCCTTGTCCTTGTGATTACGGATTAAGAATACGGAATATCACCACCCCTGTTCATCCCATGGGTGTTGTAAGAGACGACTAAGGGAGCAAACTGTGCAGGACAACAGCACTGCAAAAAGAGAACTAAAACTTGAAACAAACCCTATACCAACCCGTCTGGCCAGCATGGTATAGTAGGCCAAAACCTCCTATCTAAGGAGAGGCCTATGTCCAGCAGTAGACTGTTAAAGGCTGTTGATGATGATGATGAATGTTTTCCTCAAATTTTGGGTAATAAGAAAAATATATAAATTAAATAACACATTTAGTAATTATGTTAGAGTTTAGTAGAGCCAGAAGGCGGTCATATTTATTGAGGAGATATGCATTCAGGTCATAGTAGCATACATCACCATAATCATAGATAGGGACCATAAGGGTCTGTACTAGCATTGCTTTTGTCTCGGAAGGAAGGAAGTTTTTAAGCTGATAGAATAACCATCAGCATAAAGCTGGTATGCACATTTGAAGATTCGGGGTGATGAGATTGATAAATATTGAGAATAATAGAGGAGAGAGAATGCCACCTTGAGAGACACCACAGTCAAGCTCACGCCAACTTGAAACGCTTCATCGACGCGGACAGACTGTTGGCGACCCTAAATATATGAGGAGAAATATTCCAGTGTATCAGGCGCAATCATAAGATAGCAAAACGATAGAACGATATCGTGACTGACGGTGTTGAATGCATTTAAAAATTCAACCAAGTCCATCACAGTAATTTTGGATTTCTCAATTCCTGTTCGAATGTCGCCGGTCACTTTTAGCAGTGCGGAAGTAGTGCTATGCCCGGGCCTGAACCCCGATTGGAAAGAGCTTAATAAGTTACGGTAAATATGTTGGAATAGTTGTTGGTTCACACAGGCCTCGAGGACTTAAGAAGGGGTATACAAACGCCTTACGCCACGATGTGGGATAAGTCTCCGAGTTAAGAGAAAAATTTGTTAAATGCGTAAGCACGGGAAGAATGTAAGGGAATGTAAGGGATAGGGATGATCATGCGAATGGTTAATGTTATCACATTCCATCTCGTTGGATTTGATTGAGATGATTGTCTTTTTGACCACACCTGGTTCTACTGGAGAAAACTGAAAAGCTTCAAATTTTTTTTAAATGCAGACACCCGCCATCGCAAGGTGTTACTGCCTTCTAGCACCTTCAATGTTCTTTGAAACCTATTATCTATTCTATCCATTCATTCTAGTTCTCATTTGCTACTGCTCGTACTTTCATTCTTCATACTTGATCTTTCTTTTACAAAGCCTTTCATACCATCCAGGTGGGATTCCTGCTACTCTGTTACACTATTTTGTTGCTATTTCTTTTATTCAGGGTAATAACTGGCGACACTAAAACTTTTAATTAACATTATTTTTCCTATTTGCTATACTTAAACTATAGACTCTTACGACTAAATTACAAACACATATACTATACTACTATACTCATACTTAAATTCTAAATACACACTAATATCATCATATAAGGTGGTCTGAAAAGTTTCCGACCTAACAAAGATACAAAACATTTTTATTTTTCAACATAGTCTCCTTGTAACTCTACACACTTCTCCCAGCGATGCTCCCATCTCTGTAACCCGTCCAAATAGTACACGGGGTTTTTCTCTGACTCTGACTTCTTTAGCTTGTCAAGTAATGATGCGGAGTATGCTCCTGTAATGATTTTTCCTTTTTGGAGATAGTCGATTAAAATGACTTCGTGACTATCCCAAAAAACAGTCGCCATCACTTTCCCAGCCGATAAAACTCTCTTGCCTTTTTTTGGAGGCGGTTCCCCCTTTGCAGTCCACTGTTTGGACTGTATTTTTGTTTCGGGCGTATAATTGTGTATCCAAATTTCATCTATAGTAATTTATCGGCACCAAAACTCGGATGTATTGCGCCTAAACTGCGCCAACAGAGCGTTGGAAATGTTCATTCGAACACATTCATTCGTTTTAGTCTAATGTGAGCAATTGCGGCATCCAACGCGCGGACAGCTTTCTCATGTCTAAATGTTGATTTAATATGTGACAAACACGTTCTTTTGACATTTTCATAACCTCTGCTATATCTGTCACTTTAATTCGGCGGTCGTCTAGCACCATTTGGTGAACTTTGGTGATGTTTTCGTCGGTAGTTGCAGTTTTTGGACGTCCCGAACGTTCATCGTCTCTTACGGCCACGTTTAAATTCAGCTGCCCAAAATTTCACTGTGTAGTTTAGCAGCTCAGCATATCTACACCACCCGCCAGCTTTAAATATTATGTAGACAGACATACAATAAGAGTATGAAAGAGACAAAACATTTCGATTAACTATGCTAAACAACGCAATGAGTGGGATGTGTGTCACAATTAGTGTGTGAAATGAAACGTCGTATAAGTTTAATTAATATAACAAGTTTTGAAAATGGAAGCTAAAAAAAGGGAAGATTGACATGGCCCACTTAAAAATGAGATTATCAAACCATGTACGGATTTCCACAAATTACACTAAAAGAAAACACAGGAACTATGGTCAACGCTAACGAAGGTTTGCGTTGACCATAGTTCCTATGGTATTGCATTTGCGTGAGGACGAATTACCAGCCTTCCTGGGTGCAGCTGCTGGTTCCCTAGTCGCTTTGGGTGCAGCTCTGCCATGGACGTGACTTTGTAGCGACAGCCGTCAGGCGCTTTTACCACAACCGTACCGTCCTGCGTCCAGACGGCTCTCATACCGAAATGTTGACGTGACTTGGCGAAGATCATCTGGCGCGTCCTTGTTAAGAACTCTCGGACCGGTGTGCCCTTTAACGACGTATTGGCTTTCCAGATCGAGGATCTTAACCTCTCGGTGGTGAACTGAACCAGAATAGGCCGCTGACGGTCTTTGCCTAGGCCTCCAATCCTGTGACACACAGTTATACTATTAGACGTAGTGTCTTCTATGCCAAACCTTCTATGGAGCAGGTCAATCAGTGTAGTGGAACACTCTCCTTTATCAGCCTCTCGAACTCGGAAGAGAAGAACTCTGTGTTAAGTCTTCATGTTGTCAATAGTGTTGTAGCAGTTACTTATCTGTTTGCGCAGGAAGCCAAGCACCTTGAAGATAAGTTCACGAAAGGTTCGGCAACCCTTTGCTACTTTGTCCACTGTCTCTTTGGCTGGCACTCCACAGTGCAACTGAGCCTCCAGCTCTGTCATCCTTTGATGGAAGCTCTCCTCCAGATTCTTTGTGCAGATTCAATCTCCAGGAGATACAGTAGAGACATATTGAAAAAATATATATGTGTTCACTGGCAGGTAGGATGTGTAGAACTTGTGATATAACATTAAATCTAATATCTACGTAAGTCCTACTTAATTGAACTGTATAGATGGTAAATTGTTAAGAAAAGCATTAAAAACTTGTTTAAATTAATAAAAATTATTTAATGAGCTAGTACTCGAAAAAATATACATACACTCACATTTATATTGGAGAAATATCAGGCAATTCAAAGCTACCTATTATGGGATCGCGGATTTACCAGATACAAAAATTAAGACTATCATACCACCTGCAAATGCTTAAATTTACGTATTAAAGTCTATAAATGTTTAGCATGCTGATAAATATAAATAAAATGTTATCTTTTTAGGAAGCATAAATAATTATGTTACTATTTATTATCACATAATTATAAAAAAAAAATAGATTCCCGAAAGATCCAGATGGTCCATTTTCCTGTCAATAAACTCATTTGTAGAGTTGCTGATAACATCAACTACAAGAGATACTTATATAGTTAACCATATTTTCAAACATAGTGTTAGAAATAAGGGTAATACACAGTTGACGACTATGTAAAGTTAAAAAAAAGGAAACTGCCCTGTTTATTACTTACTTCTTAATAACTTATTCCTACATTAATATAAATCTCATTGTTACGTGAAGCAACTATTTGTTTAGTATTAGCTTATTATTTATTTTTTTTGCACCTGTGAGTTTTAGTGTTTTTTTTAAATGATTTTATGCATCAGATTTTTTTAAATATTTAATTATGTTAATAACGCCATCTAGTTTCAAACTAAGCAGAGCTTGTACTATGAAAGCTAAATTGACTGATAGAATACTTGTATACTTTTTTTGTAAATACATACATATTTGTAGATCACACAAACATTTGGTCTTACCCGGGAATCGAACCCGAGACCTCAGCACAGCAGTCGCATAAACTACCACTGCGCCACCGAGGTTGTCTTGTTCTTGCAATTGTTTCAGAAGTGTACGACGTAACCTGGATTAATAAAGTATTTTGACTGTTGATTTTAAATAATAATAATATTTGGGACATCTGTCACACAAC